TTTTTTTATTTTTCCTCACTTCGCATAACATAATATTTTGCACTCAGAACTTCCTCTATAGCAAGCACGTAATCCTTAGGGCAAAAAGAATAACAATTAATTTATAAAAAAATACTGAGATAGTTGTTCGATGAATAATCACTGCACTTCCTAGCCTACCAGCAAGGCCACGCATGTCACCTTGTTCACTCGAACTTCCCAACAATGCAAAGGTCAAAAATCGCCCAAAGGTTCAAGGGTGAAAAAAACAATAAAAAGATATCTAGGCGAAGAGCCTGGTTGAGTGGGTGATCTAGTTTTCGCGGACGGCCCGGTACTGCAAGGACCTGGGACAGTTCCCCCAAAAAAAAAAAAAAAAAAAAAAAAAAAAAAAAAAAAAAAAAGTAAAATTTTATTTTATGATCGCATTGAAATTATTTACCAGATTTAAGATAAAAAAAGAAAAAAGTGTCCCGGCCAGGCGAATTGTCCTGGAACACTATCGTAGCGTAGAAATATATATACATACACATATATACAGGGTAACCGCCGTTCAAAACGGGCCAAATGCCCGAACCTGAACAGGCTGCATTAAGTTGTTTAGACCGAACGCAGACAAAACAAAACAAAACACTCTAAAAAGAAAAATAATTGTATGCAAAAAAATAAAATAACCAACATTTGCCTGAGCATTGGATCCAAATTCCTTACCAAATTTGAAATAAAAATAAAATACAAAAAATGATTACCAATATTAGGCGATTTTTTAACGATTTTTATTTTGTTTGGTTTAGCAAAATGACTTCAAACTTTGTGGGCATTTTCCTCACATCATAAAAAAACCACAAAACAAAATTAATTTAAAAAAAATTCACGTTGGCCCCGAAATAATTTTGGGCAGGGGCCGAACGCCTTCGGGTTCGAACCCCTGACGGGACCCCGAACGCCCGTAGTACGAAGGGTGGCCTGGGGACCTCCGTACGTACGGGCTGGTGACCCTGCATATATTTGGGCCCGCCAAGCAAGTGGTATTGGGTCAGTCTAGTGGGTAGTAGTTATGGATTTGCACATGTCGATTTAAGCCCTCCTCTGTGCAAGCAAAGATTCACACCAACGGCCTCGTCCTCAAGAGCCAAGTTCCTTGACCCCTACAACCATAACACGATATTCAAAAGTGGAACCATACTGGTCATGATATCCACCCCACCCTTGCAAGGTTATAGTGTCCAACTCGACGCACACGCACACCACACTCGACACCCACAATTCTCACACATTTCAGTCCAATCAATATGTAAACCCCACTGGTACTTAGCACGCTCACTTCTCTGGGATACCTCGCACACGCACACCACACTCGACACCCACGGACAAGGCAATTCTCACACACTTCACTCCAATCAATATGTAACCCCCACTGGTGCATAACACGCTCACTTCTCCGGGATACGTTACGTTCTTCTGCCCCACACTTCACGGAAGCCTTCCACAGTAATTATAGATCCGTGCATCTGAGCCTAAATCCTACTCTGTGCAAGCACACATTCAAACCAGCGCCCTCGGCCTCAAGAACTAACCACTAAAACCAGGACAAGGTGTGGAGCCAAATTTCTTAACGACTAGGACACGACGTTCAAAAGTGCACCTATACCAATCATGATATCCACCCCACCCCTGCAAGGTTGTAGTGTCTACCTCGACGCACACCACACTCAACACCTATGGACACAACAATTCTGGTAGCTTAGTGCACTTCTTTATAATGTACAGTTGATCGTCACGACCTTGACAAATCCACCGCTTCAACCTTTAAAAAAACGAACAATCCCCTCTTGAAACTCTTCATCAATGCCTCTACCACGAGATATTGGTAAGAGCATAACCCTCTGAAATGATAAAGAACAACAACCGCCAAACTATTTAAAATATTTCATTAAAGTCAATGGATGCTATCAACTTACATCTGTTTCGGAATTTGTGAATAGCGAGAGACTGAAGAAGGAAGAAGAGGAGCGCAAACAAAAGGAGGAGGAGGAGGAAGCGCGACGTATGCAGGAAGAGGAAGAAGCCAAAGAGAGGAAGAATAAGAAGCGGGCAGCGAAACTACAACGTAAAGCGGAGCGGATTGCCGAGATGGACAAACGATTGGAATTGAAGTTGGCACTAAGAACCGACGACTTCTTCGAGAAGATCGAAGCTAATCTAGGGCCTGTCATTGAATTGGCTCGTCAAGTCCAAGGGAAGAACAAAGGTATAAGCCAACCAGCTTCGGCGTCGGGATCCGGCAGTGATAGTGGTGACAGTGCTACTGAAGACATACGACGACAGACAAGGAACCAGACGATCAGGGACAAGCGTAAGAGGGGACCCGAGCCGGTTTTTGAGGGCAATCCACCTATGATTACGCCAACAAAGAGGACACCACAGACAGTGAGGGGGAAGCGGGTGACAACAACGTGCCGAGTGAAGCCGAAGTCGCAACTGACAACCAAGCTGTCTCCATACATGGACAAACGGAAGGGGAGTCCAGGGAGTACGATTGCGAAGCTGAAATTTCGAAACAAAGTGATAGACGAGATTCGAGGCTTGGATGCTCAAGAGCTGCAAGCAATCTGCAAGGCGGAAGGCGTACCGTATCACGGGAAAATTGAATCGATCTTCGACATCGCTAGCTATCGGACACGTGTCGAATTTGGCGAGATTCAAACCGAAGAGGCATCTAATCTCGTGGAGATCGAGGATGAAGTGTCCACAACTTTGGAGGACAATGAACCTGAAAGCAAGGCTTGAGGAGGTTACGGAACTGGCGAGATCTGACGCATGGTACGAGCTTTAACTGACTACCAAAGTTCTATTAAGCGAGTGGATGAGCTTGCTGAAGAATTACTCAGAAGATGTATCCTGCTATTGTCCTTCAGAGGTAGGATTAGGTGGACCAAGAAGTTGGTGGATGTTTGGCGTAAGTTGTACGATGAGTTGGGTGACGATTTTTACGTTCCTAAGGGCTGTGAGTACGTTGCTGTATCGCCGTACTGCAAACTGCAGTACATAGGTAAGACCAGTAGGGAAATCAACCGTAGATGGGCGGAACACTTTTCTGCATGTCGTACTAAGAAGTGTACGCACTTCCACCGGTGGATGGGCTCTTTTGGCGTAGGGAAGTACGTACTCCTCCCTATTGCCAAAGGAACCGAGTCGGAGTTATTGGATCTTGAGAAGACGTATATTAGGCATTGGTCTCCGTTCCTTAACTCCATAGGGAAGAAGAAGGGTCGTGGGAACAAGAAGCCTAAGAAAGGAAGAAGGGAGAGGGATAGATCACGAAAGGAGGCGTTTAGAGCTATTGACCCTGTCAGGTTGAGCGGCAGGCGAACCGGAGTGGTCGCTTCACCTTTGTGATCAAATCTAGTGGCGGTAACACATGGTTTAATGGTTGGAAAAAGATCCGGAAGACATTTGGTGGGTCTATTGTAAAAAGCCCGACGGGAAGCGTTACCTTGAAAGAGAGTAAGAAATTGTTTGAAGTCGGTGGGAGATAGAGATCGAGCATCTGAAAATTTGAAAAACCGGAGGTGGTTTTTAGAAGAAACTTTTGATTGCGGTGCTGAGGAATCCGAGGAGGATTCATGACTTTAACAGTTGGGGTTTGAAGTCAACCCTTCGGGTATACAGCGCAATCAAAGACTTCTGAAAGAAGTCAACTCGCAAGTACCTGCGTCGCCTTTTATCTCGAAGGATCCGTGTGCATTTTGGATTGTGCATGTCTGCTGATTTGATGGTTCGTCTGAAGTATGACGACCGTTTGAACGTTGCTGAAGTCAGGAAAGTAGTCAATGATGGATTGATGATGTGTGAAATCCCAACTGCCTTTAGGAAACGGGCGAGAAATAAGATCAGGATCATATCGACAAAGAATCGATCGATTGGTGACCTGATTCATAACCAACGAGCATTTGCAGCTCTTGAGGTATCTACCTGTGTTTGTGCAGGGAAGACCTACCCGCATGTGGAAGGTCATGTCTGTTTCAAATTGAGCACTGGGGAGGCGCACCACCAAACTCTAGCGAACGTTAACGACATACCACAGGCTCGTGTCGATGACCGTGCGAGTATTTTAGGACAGGAGTTGAGGGAGGGATTTGTAAATTGGAAGAATCTAAAAGGACCATGTCCTAAGTTCGACCGCGAGCGCCTTTTGAGATGTATTGCTGATGACGGGGTTGGTGACGGAAAGCTAACCTCGACTGATGTATTGAAAGTCAAGAATGAGTTAAGGGAGTTTGTGCTTACCCCTTAGGATTCCTGGGAACACCCTCGGCGATGATGGACACTTTCGTCACAAGTACGGGTTACAGAGTTGTTCAACAAAAGGAGGAGGAGATACTGTGTAAAATAAGGGAAGATGTTAACAGATGTGGCTTAAAGCAATTTGTCCGTTGGGACAGAAAGAGGAAGCTTGTATGTTCTTATGTTCTTCCCAAGCATAAGGACATCCAACGTTTCCACCCGATCTGCCCAACTTTCAATGAGCTGATGGTATAAACGGGAAGAGCGGTGACCAAAGCGCTTAATCATCTACTTTTTCACTTGCCCATCGATGGTCACTTTAACCTCCAGGCGGTGTCTCATCTGGCTGACAGACTGCAGCGGGTTAATAAGAAGGTGAAAGGTTTGAGAGGTGGTGGTGAGGTTAGAACGGCGGCATATGACATCAAAGAGATGTTCAACAAACTGCCTCATTTGGACATCGTGGAGGCAGTCAGCTGGATCATCAAGTATCATGAAGGGAAAGGGCGTACGTTTGTGCGTGTTATCACGAGAGGGAGGGGTGCTACCTTTGGCTTGACAACAAATGCAAATCATTGGAGGAAGCTTGATCTGAGGGAGATTGAGAAATTCGTCAAGTTCAAATTGGACCATACCTATACATCAGCAACAGTTGTTCTCCTCAGACAGGTGATTGGGATACCAATGGGGAAGAGTACTAGTCCTCCATTGACATGTATCCTCTATGCATTTGCGGAAGCGAGGTTCTCGAGCAACCTGGGTAAGCTCAGAAAGAATGTATTTGGAGTTAGGTTAATTGACAATGTTGTTCTTATGACCGCATCGCTTTCTGAGAAGGAACACAATATGGTTCTGCGGTTGTTTGCAGGGTGCTATCCGAGAAACTTAACTCTGAAGCGGACTGATTGTGGTGATGGAACACTGCAGTTCCAGGGTTGCAAGGTACGAACTAAACAAACGTACCCGTTTTTTGGATGTGTGCACCTCGCAAAAAACGAAGCAACCATTTAGGAGGATGAGAGTTTGATCTTCCAAAATGGTCAAACCTACTCATCTTGGGGTAGCAAGCAATCGAAGAATGCTATCATTGGCGGGCATCTGCACCGAATTGAACAGAATACTACGATACGAGCTGAGAATCCGCTGAGGGTGTTGACTGTTAGGAGGGAGTTACGTTTGAAAGAATTCCCGCGGGATTGTTTTGAGACAGTGCTCAGAAGGTTCGCAACAGGGAGGGATGCCATATGGCAAGAGACGGTAAAGTTGTTGTGCTGGTGATGGGTGTTGGAATGTGCTCACATACGTTGAAGTTGCGAGTGTATCTGAAGAAGCCTGGGTAGGATAGTTGAGGAGAGTGATTGAAAGAATGGCTACCCTTTACTCTGTATGACATTGTATAGTATACCGATTAGCAGTTCTATGAGTGATCATTTGATTAGATAATGACGAGTAGTTGTGTTCAGTGGACAGGATTGGGAATCATGCTGAGCTCGACTTTGCTGCTGCTAGCTTTCTTTGTTGTTTTCTTTACTTTGACGATAGTGATTGGGACGATGAGATTAGTGGACAGGGTTGATGATCATGTTGTCTCTTCGATACCAGGTCTGTGTTTTGATGTCTTGTTTTGTGCTACGTAGTTTGGGACTCTATTTGTAAAAGGACCGGTTAGGTTGTGAGTCGTAGGTGGACTGGTACCATCCGATGAGGAAGGCGGTACCATTAACAGATTGATGTGTTGTGATAAAAAGGATTTTGTGCATAGTACTCAACCTCTCAGGCTCACACCGTGGTTAGCTGCGGGTAATCCGAAATACTCCTGAAAAACACGGCGGAAGTGGGATAGGGAACGTATGGCTTGTGCAGGGTTTTGACGGTGAAACCCGCTGAAGAGGCAACGACGGTTGCCGAAACGTGGCGTTGGGGACGCTACCTGTTGTTTTTAATTCTTTCCATTTTGTAAATGTCGAATACTTTGCCAAGTCACGGCTACTGTCGTTGACGTGAGTCTTCATATGAGTTTTTCATGAGTTTACACTCCATTGTGTGTATCAACTATCATATACATCTGCGATCATTATTAAACGTGAAATTCTAATCTTGAAGCAATTCTCCTCTTATTTGTTCGTTCCCTATCCATAACACTTATATGAATGCAACCACAACTAAATGCATTAATACTAATTGTCATAACTCACAACAAAATCTTGACTCTAAAAAAATATATAAAAAAAAAAAATTATAGAGGGTATTCGATAAGCCAAATCCTATTCAATTGAAACCTTAAAACATACAACCACATTCCGATGCAGTGGTGATCAATACTGCTAKATATGATGATTTTCTAATGATGGAACAAGCAAGCATAACGTATAAAGAAAAAAAATAATGCTAGTCATTGAAAAATTATTAACTGGAACAGTGTTATCAGCCTCTACATGCAAAGGTCCTTCGGCCAACCCCTCTACGAACGGGCGTTCGGACGCCCATTCAAGGTCCAAACCTGAAGGGGTTCGGTCCCCGGCATAACGTTTTTTCCTAAAAAAAAATATTTTTCTTGAATTTTTTCAATAAGTCTAAATGCAAGGTATATGCCTCTCTATTTTGAAATTATTTTGTTAAGCCAAAAAACAATTAAAACTCGCCAAAGACGGAGGTGTGAAATTCTGCTCGAGCACTAACTATTTGTGCATTTGTTCACTTTCAATTTTATGTTTTCACTTTATTTCCAGCGCTAACAATTTTATAATTTTCTACAACGTTCTTTTATCCGTTTTGTACTGTGTGAAGAAAGCATATATAAATATTAAAGAAACTTAAAAGCCATAAAACAATGAAACACAATGTGCTCGCACACTCACCAATTAATTCTCTTATTATTTTTGCTTATTTTTATTATTAGCCAAAACGATTTTTACGCACAGCCCGTCCTGCTCGGACGTGGTGACCGCAATATCTCAACATGCATTTTTTTTAAATATTTTTATGCTATCTCCCAGAGAACCCAAAATCCGACCTCATTTAATTTTTTGAAAGTTACCTATCAAGGGGAGAAGAAGGGATAAAAAATTATTTTAAAGGGCCTAAAAGGGTGCAAAGGAGGGTGTTTTTGTGTGATTCCGTTTTCTTTTTTCTCTCTCATTATGCGAGGAATTATAATGTGACGTCAGTCAATTGTCGTTTGTATTTTAATTCTATACTACATATCTTCTTTGCGACAAGATTGCAATATCAAGTCAATCTGTTCCGAAAATTTAGGATTCAATAATTTCATCTCAGAGATCCAGCGTTGTTTTTAATGTTGAGGTTTCAAGGATCGGGTGTTCACCGATAAAAGCGGTAAACTCTTCGTCGTGTTTTACGAGTAATCTCTGACCTTATTACTTCACTATTTAACCGAATCTCCTACCCTTTTTTTTCTTTATTTTTTTTAATTTGGGTTGCTCGAAACTGTGCCTGAAGGTCATGTCCGATCAACCACCCGAGCATATACCCCAGTATATACCCGAGCAAGAGTTGGTTGCTTGGACGTCCGAATAAATTGGCTTAGATTATTACTCTTTTCTCTTTCCATATTTT